GCTATCTTCCGAATAACAGCCCCAAATTATCGAGGCAGAAAGTATACCCTAACAGGGCCTAAGTCATGTGTCAGTTGCACACTTCCGGCGACTTAAATTGCGCACTTCCGCCACCGCCGAGAGTATCCCCCACTCGTGGATTGGGGCTAAACTAGATGGCTGGGACTCACGAACAGCAGCAATGGCATTTCCTGCAGCTGCCCTTATTTTATTTGCTCGTGAGTCCTAGCCATCTAGTTTAGCCCCAATCTCGGCGGTGGCGGTATAGTCCCCAGAAGTTCGCAATTCGGCGGTGGCGGTATAGTCCCCAGAAGTGCACAATTGACACATGACTGAGGCCCTGTTAGAGTATATTTTCTGCCTCGATAATTTGGAACCGTTATTTGGAAGATAGCCTGAAGTTTTATGTATTGGGTTTTTACTTAGGAAACCTCCACAACTAGATAGAGATTAAAATATCAAATGCAGTGATACCTCATTAAAGCCTTAGTCAATTCTAAGCAGAGATATTAACATTTCAGTGGGAGATACCTTACTTACTTACTTAGTCGCTCCTCTTCTACCTTGGGGTGTAGAGGTTTGCCAGAGAGATCGCCAGACGTCTCTATCAGCAGTTTTCTTTCTGGCTTTGTTCCATTCCAGTCCTCTGTCAGTCAGGGACTGTCGGATGTTGTCTTCCCAGCGCACCCTGGGTCGTCCCGGAGGTCTGGTTCCCTGGTTCTTAGCCTCCCATGCTTGCCATGGTGGCCGATTTTCTCCCATTCTGCACACATGTCCAAACCATCGTAACTGTGACTGATCCACTCGGGTTAGTAAGGGCTGGGTATCAAGATCTTGACGTATTGTCTGATTGCGGACTTTGTCCCTTCTTGTCACTTGGACCACCTTTCTCAGGTATCTCATTTCCGAGGCCTGCAGCTGGCTTCTGTGAGCTGTTGTCATTGCCCATGACTCACACCCATAGGTCAGGACTGGTACATAGGTAGAGCGGTAAACAGCCATTTTCGTCCTCTTGCCAATTTCTCTTTTGCTAAGAAACCCTCGGTTTATGCTAAGAAACCCTCGGTTTAGTGGGAGATACCACCATAGACAAATTATAGTGTATTCTGACCAAAAAATGATTGTGAGCTGTGTCCTAGTAAAATTCAGAATTGAAATGACTGAATTTTATGGTAATAACTGTTTTGTTTAACAAATTCCTTAGCAACTATATATCATTGCAATCGGGGCAGAGAGGCCTGACTGTATATGTATTTCTTAACTCTGAGTCCCAGGGAGTTTAGCATCAGAAGCCTAAGGGGTGGTAATGGAATATTTGTTTTTTCACAAGTGTAACATATTAAAACAGACAATACAAATTCAGTTGCCATGCAACATACACATATTATACATCAAAGTGACCAGAGATTGTTGGGAAATTATAATAGAATACTGCTTCAACAAATAATTGCATTAGTAATCAACAGCCGGTATGTTTACAGAAACTAGTAAAATGAAAAACAAGTTTTCTACTTTTCATGGCACTTCAGAAAAACTTAAAATGTATCTGAAATGAATCACAAATGAACATGAACCACTTAGTAATGTATAAGTAGAATATTATAAAACCCAATCTGTACATTAGAGAAACTTTTAAAGCATCATAACAAACCACCTTTATTTAGGAATGAAAATTGACTTCCCGAAACAATATCTTTACACAAAACAAAGTTTATACAACACTCAATTTGCCTATAATGTTGTAGCTATGTTTATAAATAATAAGGGGAATAGCACTAGAAATAAGTAACCCTGAAGAAAATCGCTTTTTCTTTAAAATTTATTCTATTTGTAGCAGCTTACTTTGCTATCATTGTACCCTTCACATGTACCCTTCTATATATGACTAAAGCAAGACTACTCTGCAATATCTACCTAACTTCGGATAAATCTAATAAACATATTCTTTATTTACATTTGAGGCTTCTAAAGCTGTAAATCATGTTGGCATGCATGTAGAATACTGCTCGATGTTTTTAAACACACACTTAGTAACTCGGTAAGCCTAGCAAATATACTAAATTTTTGGCTTTTAAATTAAGTTTTTTAAATAAGTATGTCTGATTTCAAACAACAAAGAACACAAAAAGAAGTTGAAATTGAGTGGACTGCGTTTTATTACTGGTCAGTGGTAAATTGAAAACTGTTACTTGTCACGTGCTGATTGGCGCTGCTGGGTTTGTAACCAGCCTAGGATGCGTTCCCTCGGACTGAAGGCACATGGCATTGATAACATCACTTCTGTCCAGTACCGGACCAGCCATAGCAACCGCAGTGTCAGCAAGATAGTCTGCACGCTCTTTTCCTTGAACACCCGCATAACCTGGCGCAAAGATGGTTAGGGCAGCCATTCGTAAAGTGCTTATTGCAATCCATTCTTGCCGGATAAATCCAGCTTGGATTTTATAAGCATATTTGTCGAGTCACTAAGAATACATGCGTGTGTTGTTTGAGTACCAAGCCATGCTAATGTCCTTGTTACAGCCATAGTTTCCATTGTAAGGCTGCTAGTTGTAACTGCAAAGGCGCCATTCATCTCCTTGATGGTTTTCCCCCTTGAGCTTACTGTGAAATGCCCATGCACTTCGCTTGCCCCAAATTACTGATCTCAATATCTTTATATCTGCACACACAATAGAACAAAACAAAAAAGTTGTATACCCACAAGCATTTTAAAAGTAAACATATTTGAAATGTGTGCTTTCTCTTTTCTTTGATGTCCATCTAACCAGACTGAGCCACAGAAATGTGTGGCCGGGTACAGCTAGTGACTAAATATTTGTAGTTCATAGACAGTAAATTAACATTGGATGATATCTCTGTGGCAGATTATGTTGTGAAAATAGTCTAATGTAATGACAAAACATGACAATAAGGTAATAATGTAAATTTGTTGCTGCCTACCATTGGGCTGCAGCTCAACCGTTGAAGAACACTGCTCTAAAAAGCTTTGAGTTACAATTTAAAACATTTTAATAAATTCATAATGTATTTTTTTTAAATTGAAATTTATTAAAAGAAAACTGCATTTGTGTGGAACATTTCGAAATTGTCCTAGGTCCCTGTGGATTATGAGGCCTCGAGCTGTGTCTTATTTAGCTTATACCCAAATATCTGATTGCCTGTGTGAATCATCTGACCTTTTTGTGTAGTTTCACACTGGCTGTGTTTCCATTTGTTTCATGGTATTTTCATTTCTGATCTTGTCTCTGGATGCATTCAGGATACGTACCAAAGCATATATATCACCGCTTGTAAATGTAAAGAAAGACCTTGTAGAGAGGTGTATATAATGCCTGTACAGGATTTATACTGAATATTTATTTAGACATAGAGTGAACAGTGAGGAGGCACAAATAGGTCGTTACGGTCAGAGGGGAATGTTGCAACGAAGAGTTAAAGGGGATCTGACTTACCCTCAACACTTAAGGGAAAGGCAATGCAGATATACAATATAGTTACTGGTTAGTTAGTTAGTCTTTCCTCTTGTGTCGAGTGCGGCACATAGGGCAGAGGTCATGACTCTCCATGCACGGCGGTCCGTTGCAATCCGTTGTAGGTCTTGGGTGTTTGAGTGGCCCATGAGCGAGCCTTCCCTGATGATAGTTCTACGTAAAGTTTCCCTTGGTCTTCCACGAGATCTTTTCCCCTGTGGTGTCCAAATGAGGGCTTGGTAAGGAAGTCTTGATTTATCCATTCTAAGGGCGTGGCCGACATAGTTCCAGCGGCGTTTTATAGTTACTGGTGCTAGACCTAAATTTTATAAACCATTCGGCACTTGGTGGGTAATGCTGTCAACGTCACACCAGCCGCCTTTACTTCCCAGGACTGCATCTAGTACCCGCTCAAGGCTGGATCGACCTGGGAGTCAAGAGGTGATATTATAGTAGCAGCATATTGTAAATCCAGAAACAAAATAATTGGACAAATAAAGTATATGTTAGTTAGCTTTGCAAGGCAAGTTACAGTAGACAAACAAAAAAGCTTTGAGGTGTTTAGTTTTCTATGCAGAACGATCTAAAATAAAAAAATGCAGTGACTCTGAAATGAGTCAGTTACAGTATTCAAATATTGCTTAACAAATCAAACAGAATAGTAGACCCGATTTTATAAAGTATGTGATGTTTACCTGGACTTCCAGAATAAGCTGTCTAGCCACATGTTAGAGACGGAACAGCAGTAGAAGATGTGACCAGTAACACTCCTGCTCCCTTTATTTCCCAGAACCCATTACATATTGGGGTGACCTGGAAGCCCATAGCAGGTTCTGGTTAACCCTTTAAGTACCAGAAAACTCTTATGTTTATTGGTGACATTTTTAAAATATATGTTTTAACTCTTTACGTCCCATAAAAAGCATCATGCGTTCATTGGTTTCTTTTTAGAAGCCCAGTGAACGCATGATGCGCTGATTTTTATGTCTCTTTTGACTATAGTTTTGGCCTCTGATAATAAACACACTGGGATTCAAAGAGTTAACTTCTGAAATATTTTTCTGCTTTGAGTTTTATACTATTAACTCTGTCCATGCCATAGTTTCAAGTTATGACACAAACATTCTGAACAGTGTTTTAATATACGAACATTCTGAACAGTGTTTTAATATACAGACAAACATTCTGAACAGTGTTTTAATATACAGACAAACATTCTGAACAGTGTTTTAATCTACAGACAAACAGTCTGAACAGTGTTTTAATATACAGATAAACATTCTGAACAGTGTTTTAATATACAGACAAACATTCTGAACAGTGTTTTAATATACAGACAAACATTCTGAACAGTGTTTTAATATACAGACAAACAGTCTGAACAGTGTTTTAATATACAGACAAACATTCTGAACAGTGTTTTAATATACAGACAAACATTCTGAACAGTGTTTTAATATACAGATAAACATTCTGAACAGTGTTTTAATATACAGACAAATATACAGTGTTAAATTGTCTCCTCAGATGGGTGATATAGTGAAGAGTGGATACGTCAAGCGCTACAGTAGTAAGTTTCTTTTCCATTACTTGTTTGCTTTTAACCTTTTATTATTTTCAGTATAGTCTGTCTACCTGATGATATGTGTAATGCTGATATCCACTGAATCTTTTGTCAAATTTATCAAAAACTTGTACCCAAAAAAAAACTTAATTTCTGTGCACACTTCTAATTTTAAATATATATCATCTCTAACTTGCCAACATTTAACAGAAATTGCTGTTTGAAATATCAACATTCCCACTTGAATTTCAGCAGTTTCATTCATTGTGAGCATCCAGTATGAAGATTTTGACAAATACATGCTTCTTTTGATACCAGCATAATACACTATACTGGAAAATGAAGCAGTATGGCAACTTGTAAAGCTGGGCAAATCTTAAAGCTTCAGAAAAACTGGTATAAAACTAAACAATACCTCAACTATTTTTAAAATGATGCATCTCTTTGTGTCATCTTTGTTCCTTCCTCATTTACTGGAGAAAGAAAAACAAAAAGTGGGGGGGGGGGGGGGGTGTTGTATGATGTGACACCTAGTTATGAATCTCTCTGGATTCAAGGCCATTGTCCAGGTGCATCAGCTGATTTATAACAAATATAATTTTGTGCATATTTTTTTTAAAAGAGACGTAGTATAATATTTGAATATAAAACAGTCAGGTGTAGCGACAGATGTTTGTTTTATTTATTTATTGCCGCATTTCCGGACGATAGTGTTTTATTGTGACAGCGATGTCAAGTGTGACTTGCAAGACCCGCTCGCATTAAGAAAAGTCTTCCACAGTTATAGCATGGGATTTCAGGACCGTTCTTGTCTGCATTTGTGTTTAGTCTGTTTCTTCTCAGCTCTCATTCTTTCTGCAATCATTTCTTCCTTCGTTCTCATTGCCTTCCTAATGTGCCTCCTCCACACAGTACGGTCTATGAAATTTTTGTTCTGAGTCCATCTCATTCATGTCCTGTTTCTTCTACCCATGTTTATTTCACCATAGAGGATGTCCTTATAGCCATCAACCCTTCTGCAGGTGTGACCCAGCCACATTGATGGTGACAGATGTATAAATTCTTGATAAAGTCACTGAAATAAAGTAGCATCACACACAGCCTGATTAACAAAATGCAGAAGAAATTATCCTAATGAAATATGCAACAGATAGAGACTTGTACAAGTTGGTGAGGAATTCACTTGAATAAAAAATGTAATACATAAATATGATGTACAATTTGTTGAGGAAATCACTTAAATATAAACAAACACTGATGTACTTAAATAACAAATGCAGCTTATAAATCTAATGTACAAGTTCTTAAGGAAGTCACCTAAATATGAGACACTTACAGGTCAGCACATGTAACTTAGGGGTTATGAATGCAGTTTGTAATTCTGAAATGCCCAGTTTGATTCAGCTGCATGTGATTTGGCAGCAGACAGCATTGATTTTGACAATGTCTGAAGCACGAACCATTCACATAGCAATGGCAAACTACTAAATGTAAACCATTCACATAGCAGTGGCAAACTACTAAATGTAAGTTTATCTGTCTCGTAAAACCATATAACAGCTTATGCTGGTGTTTCCAATGCCTCGTAGACAAAAAACACATTGTGATGTAAAACAGTCTAATTAAAAAGTCTCAGAGAAAGCTGTTTAAGTAAAATATGCAACACAGAGAGACAAATGTTTATTTTTTTTCAAGGAAATCAATGAATTGGAGTAGACACAAAAGTTCTTTTGTGTTCTAGCACAAAATGTTATGAGGTAGTGTAAGGGTTCTTTACTTGACTTATGATAGTTTGTCCCCAGAAGATGGATATAAGATACCCTGAATTTACTGCTTTGCAGGCATACAAAAACAAATGACCAGTCATACAATCCACAACCAATAACTGTAGGTAGGTAGGTAATTGTACCCTGCCAGGACATCACACAAGCGATAAATGCCCACTGTCATAAAGTGCCACCATGCTGATGAGGATCGCCCGTGGAGAGGTCCCAGAAACCCCTTTTAACCATTTGGCCATATTTACGGCCTGGCTATATTCAAGGTCCACTGCAAAATCCAGGGTGGGGCTTCAAACATTGCATCCCACATGGTGATGACTGAGATATAACCAATAACTGTAGAAGATTTTATTCATCTTTGTTGTTCTCTCTCTAGAGAAATTCTTAAGTGGAGGCTGGAACCAGTCATTCTTGGAGCTTCATAGAGACTCACAGCTCAATGTCTATAAGAAGCAAGGGGATTCCAAATGTCAAGGTTCAATATTCTTGAAGGTGAATCTCTGTTTGCTTCTTGCTTGTTCTTTGTGTCTTTTTTGACAGACAATACCAAGTCTGTTATAATGGACTAGTTTTATTTGGTTGGATAATTACAGCTAGAAGTTTCTATGTGGTGAGATGCCTAGAAAATAAGAAAGAGACAAACACTGTTCTTTGGCCACATAATGAGAAGATATTGGAGAACATCGTGACAACTGGAAAGATCAGTGGAAAAGGGGGTAGAGGCAGACCAAGAGAGATGTTGCTGGATGGGCTGAAATGATGGCATGGAGGGATATTATCAAGAGAGCTGTTCCAGGCATCCAGGGATCATGATCTGTGGAGACACATGAGCGCTACGCCAGTTGGCAGGGCACACAATGCTATGCCTAGTCTCACACCATTCTTTCTTATGGTGCTTTCTGAGGTGCATTGTAGATTAGTTTTCTTCTTCTTTGCTTCCTTTGTGAACTTTAGTAACATAGACAGATTTTTAATTTACTTGTGTGAGCTTTTGTTTTTTCCATGTGTATGCTGTTGTGCAAGTCCAAAATCTTGTATATATTTTTCAAAACTTAAGTCTATTGTAAATCAGGATGCTTTAATTTTAATTCACCACAAACAAACCTGGTAGCTATATTTGGCATGGTTTAGGGTTATGGTTAAGGGTTATCAAAATACACATTATATAAAGACAACCAAAGTAAACTGCAAAAGAAAACAATGACTATCTATGAAACTCTTGGAATACCTTTGTTTGGGGTTAGTTAAAATTGAAGTACCTAAATCTGCCCTCATGCTGAATTGTAGATGTGTTCTTTGGAAAATTAATATGGTGGTTTCCATCTTCCACTTTGTGTAAAAGTATACTTCAACACACTGATATACAGAAGTGGAATTGCTAGGCTGACTATGCAGACAGTGGACAGAGGAAATAAGTTAGAGACTCTCGATGTATGAAGCACATAATCAGGCACTGTCCTACTGTTTATGCTTCACCTTTACCTCACAAGGTACAAGAGGAACAAGATTAGATTGTAGGTGGCTTTGTATCATCTTCTGATGTAACCAGGGCAGAGCAGAAAGGCAACCTACTCTGGTACAATCTCTATTATATAGTCTATAACCTGTACAGTGAAGTGAACATCTGCTTTTAAGTAAAAGTAAGGAAGGGATCCTTTTACACGCCTTCAGGCATATAGGGCTTAGACCTATATTTTATACACCAATCGGTACTTGATGGGTGATGTGATCAACATCACGCTGGCTACCTTTACTTCCCAGGCTGGGTTAATGTTGGAGCCAAGGTCAATTTTTAAAAAAATGCACACTTTTGTCAGGACCCTAACCCAGGAGCTGTTGTAAAAACGCATTAATAGAGTTTAAGAGGACCAATTAAGCAAAAGTTCCTGTTTAAAATCCATGTTAACTGGGGACTAATATATGTATTATGAATAGTACATCCCTTCTGGGACCAGAACTGCGTTCATGTTGAGCTTTGGTCCTGATCGAATTCATGTTGAAAAAGTTTTACTGTGTAACTTTTTTTTTTTTGAGAAGCCCTGACAGATTGGTAAGTGTAATTAGACCCCATATTGTTTGTATGTAGCCAGCTAACCTGTAGCAATTTGGCATTGTTGTAGGATGTTGCCAAGTACTTTGCCTATGGTCAGTACACAGAAGGAATGCCAGACAGGCCAAGTTTGCCATCAGGGGCATCCTATGACTGCATTATGGGTATCCCCCAGAAACCCAGCAGCAAGGCGAAGATCCACTGGTTTTTGTTCTCCAGTGTTAATGAGCTTAAGTAAGTTTGTTGGCTTCTTGTCTGATATTCTAATGCAGTTGTCCTCTTTAAACGGTGCAAGTAAATTGGAACAGTTCCTGTGAATGCTTACTTTAAAAAAAAAAATTAAAGAAAATATGCTTAACAATGTTAAAGGCCTGTTTTTGTTTTTAATTTTGTCACATATCACTCCTGTCACGTGCCTGATTTAAGGATTTCTCCTTAAGAACCAACAGCACTCAGAAATAATTATGTTGAGTCGTTTGGCTCGTATTGGTCTAAGGGATGCCCTGTGGCCAATATACGCTCAACTTATTTCTGGAGTAGGGCAACTCAAGTTTTGGCACTACAAAATATATATATATCTATATATATAAATATAATAATCCTAGGCACACTTGGCTGGACACCCCCACTACTATAAAAAGATAGCCCCCAGGTTATGATAGTCTACTATCATAACCATGTTAACACATATAACAATTATTATTCATACACACATCAATGCTAAACAATTAGAAAGGTGAAATAGAGACACCTAAGTCAGCCATGAAAATGAATGTATGTAATAAATACAAATTTTTTACACAAATAGAAGAATACTGTTCCAGAATGTTCATAGTATCAGACGCAGAGCCACGACTCAGATATTGAAACAGCCAGATCGTCTAGAAGAGTATCTCAATGTCATCACCGGAATACTGTGGAGCTGTGGGGAATGGAGCATGATAATGAAACAAAACTGTCACTTATCAGAGTTCCTATGTGGATGCTCCCCTCAGTCCATGGTGATTCGACTGTAGTTGACTCTGGTAGCTCTGTCTCAAGTTGATCTGGTCACAGAGGAGTGCCCCACCATCGAGGACACAGAAACTGTATAGGGACTCAACAAGTCTCTCCCACATGTCAGGTCATAAAGCTGCCACGGAGCTCAACCAAGCTCCTGAAGACGGGTACACTTGATTCTGACACAATCTCTGCAAATGTTCACTCGCCCTGGAGCTCATACACACGCTCTGGCCATGTTAAAGTAGTGGTGTATAGGGCACGACATGATACTGCAAGGTACATGCACCAGTGTTTAGCTGGTGGTTAGTTGGTGGTTGTTGGTAGGACTGTGATTGATCTGCCCGCTCTCTACAGAGGTTTCATCCTGTCAGGAAAGAACTCAGAATTAGTAATCACCAAGACGGTATCATCTTGACAGGAAAGAACTCGGAATTAGTAATCAGTTTCCATCACACATCAGCTCACTCCACCTCTGCTCCTCTGTTACCTTCCTCAGAGTGTACTCTCAAGACTAGGAGACAATGTCTCCTTTCATTTATCTGTCTGTTTAGTGCAAGAGATGGAAAGTCAAATATATATATATATATATATATATATATATATATATATATATATATATATATATATATATATATATATATATATATATATATATATATATATATATATAGTGGAGATAGATAGACACTATCACACATATATCATTCTCTCTCCCCCCTCACATCTGTATGCAGACACCAATGTTTACAGTCAGTACCCATATCTCCTCCGTCTCTCAGGCCATTCACTACACACCCATTGATCTGTGTCAGACACACTCAAAGCAACGCGCTAGTTGCCGATAAAACTGACCTACATTCTCCGTCCCTGTTAATACTGCACAAACCTCTGTTGCTAGTTCAAAGGATAAATACTTGTAGGGTTCAATATCTTTACCAATGGTGTGGGTTATTTAGAGCACAAACTATTTAGTCTGTACAGAAGAAGGTCTAAGGTTCGGATCCGGTTCTTTGGACATCAAGAATGGTCGAACTCTGTGCGATCCCATAACCGATATCGCTCTATCTACAGCAGTGACCCTTTTAACAAGACATCATTTAAGGTACTCGTAAACTATAAGTAACTTACCCAAGCTTAGGAAATGTCCTAGACACTACAGGCCGCATTCTCAAAGTATAAATTTATGAGGCGCTGATGAACACCTCTGATCTCTAGGAATGCAGGCAGAAAAATGCCCGCTCTAACTTACGCTTGGCGTCAGTAGAAAGAAGTCCCCTGTATACATGAGCAAGGAGTAAACCCGTTTCCAGGAGTATTCAAATAAAACCCTAGAAATCGTCAACCTACAGTTGCAAATTTGAAAATGACGATAAGTCAAAGCAACTAGAAGGTCAAGAAATTATTATTTTTTCCGATAAAGGTATAGATCAATATAAGGGACTATATACCTTTCTGGACGGGTCCAAGTTTGAAATTTTTGCTGAGGGGGGGGGGGGGGGGGGGGGGGGAATACCAGGTCCCGACTCATCTACCATGTGTAGTGGTGGTTTGGTTCATTCCTTGACAAATTTGAGTGTGTTTAAAGAAAACGTAGGTGACAATTTTTAAAAATTGGGGGGGGGGGGGGGGGGGGGGGTGCAGTTGGTAATTTGTAAGATGTAAGTAAAGTGAACAACAAAAGTAAAGGTCTCCTTTCCACGCCTTCAAGCATGTTAAGCTTATAGGGCTAGACCTATATTAAAATATGTAAACATTAAAAAACTTAATTTGACCACATCACAGTGGTTTACAAAGAACTGTAACCTGTGGGGATTTATAGGACCTATTTGAGGGAGTGGGCAGGAGATAGGCCCTTTGCTGCTTAGCAGGCATGTTTGAAAGGTGACCAGTTAAACATTTTCTGTAATTGCATGTGTTGGGCCAAAGGCTTGTACAGCCTAGCTGTACATCACAACACGAACATGCCTACTGCACCTTTTTAGGACAAACACAGAAGGAGGAAGAAGAAAATGTTAAGGGAGATAAGGCTCCTGAAAGTTGAGACAGAGGCTGACCAGCATTGCTGATGACACAGGAGTTAAGAGTAAGATGCCCCTTTTCGGGGAAAGTCATACGGAAATGACAGATTTGTTTGGTGACGGCAATGTAAAAGCAAATTTAAAAAAAAATCTTCCTACCCTTAAGAAGTAAGTAAAGGTCCCTTTTTGCGCACCTTTAGGCGAATAGGGCAAGACCTATATTTTTATAGACCAATCGGCACAAGATGGGTGATGTGGTCAGCATCACCCAGGCACCCTTTACTTCCCGGGGTGCACCTGGTACCCATTCAAGGCTGGGTAGACCTGGGAGTCAGGGGTCATTTTTGAAAAGTTTAGCTCCTCCAGAAGCAAACCCATGACCTTCTGATCCACACGTGAGCATCTAGCCGCTATGCCATGTCGACTCCCCCTACCCATATGAACCGAATGTAAATAGTAGAATAAAAGACATTTCCCCCCTTTGGGTGTATTGGATATATAGAGCTAGCCCTGTATTTTATAGACCAATCGGCACTAGGTGGGTAATATGGTCAGCATCACGCCAGCCGCCTTTACTTCCAAGCACCTTTTACCCACTGGAGGCTAGGTCGA